CGGTACTAGTTTTATTTTGTTGTATTTATCCGCGACACCTTAAAGGCCGGTCCATGAAAATATTGTCGGGCATAAACCGGTCCGTGGTGCAAAAATGGTTGGAGACCGCTGTTCTAGAATGACCAAATTTGTATCACTACTCTTTAGCCAACAGATGGCTGTATGACTCAGAATGGATCAAATCAAGCTTGTTAGACGGCCCATGGCTGAACCTAAAACAAGCTCTCTGTGGACAAGTAAAGATCTCTGATTTTAAGTCCAGCCCACAAAAATGATTTACCCCAGTAAACTGAACTCAAATGTCTACATGGGCAACAAAATATTTAAAATATCTCTACCCCTAAATGGTTATCAAACACATATAAAATGTGTAAAATTGGTGATTCCATTTCCCATAAAACTGCAAAACGGGAGCAAGATCTTTCCATCAACCCATAACAAAACATCTGATCCTAATACAGCAACTTACAACATGCAAAACTCTCCATAGAACACAATATAGAGGACAAATGGGCCTCACACACTCAAACATATGCACACACTGCAAACACCCACTGAAAACTCTGTGCACGCTGTATGGTCTTGTACGCCTACTCAGAGGGCCTGTCGGAGGATATGTGAAGACCTTTCCACACGGTTTAGTTGCCACACCTAAACTGTTCATGTTAGGTGACATAAGCACATAAATCAAACATAGTTGTTACTGCCTCACGCATCGCTAAAAAAATTATCTTCAAGAACTGGAAGTCATAACTTTGTGCATAACTCAGGTTGGTAGGGCCATTCATGCGCTACCTCTACCACACCTTACTTGAGAGCTCACTAGTCTGCGTACACGGAAGAATCCATTACAGTGAGAGTACAGTTACAATACAGTTAGGCAAGAAGCAAGGCAACTGGCTCATCCTTTTCTGTGGGCTCCCTCTAGCTTGTAGATAGTTTGAAGATAATAGTTTGTTTTAAAAATACTCTGTTAATTCTAATTCTCATAATCTATATTTGGCAAGTTTAGAGTGAAACAAAACAAAAAGAACCAATAAAATTCCAATAACTGAACTGGGGGGAAAAGGGACGTGTTGGTGTGAAGCCACAGAACTGTTTTGCACTTACTATGTATCCTGGTGCACAGATACAAGCTCCAGTGATGCCAT